GGAAAAAGACCCGGGTCAGGAAACCCCTCCTGACAAACCTACCCTGGGCAAGAGGGTTTTTCATTTTTCAGTACTCCATTTACGTTGCTTCATTTTCCCCTAAACTTTCCAATATTCCCAGTTTTAGTTTTTTTCGTATCGTAAATTGTTCTTCTGTAAAGTATAATTTTTGTGGGTTTACTTAAGGTACAAAACCCAAAAAAAAACCCAGAAAATTTTAAATAAATTTTAGTTTGATGTTACTAACTCGTGAGATGCTTAGCAGGGTTACAGCTCTCTTTGTGGGGTGTGTGTGTGTGTGTGTGTGGTTTTGTGTGTGTGGGGTGTGTGTGGGGGTGTGGGGTGTGTGTGTGGTTTTCATCAAAAACCTTTTATAGATTAGCCTCAAAAAATAAAAATAGTTCAGGGGAAAAATTAAATTGGGCTTTCTATCATTTTTTGGGGGAAAAACCTTTATGGGCGAAAAAAAAATTTTGATTTCCCTAACACCTTTAAAAATCAAGGGAAAACAAATTTTTTCGGACAGGGAATGATTTACAAGGGGTGGCCGTGTTGTGGGTCAACCCCCCGTTAATATACTCACTCAATCTGTTTTAATGTTCTCATAAAAATATACTCAATGTTGACTCCTATATATATATATATATATATATATATTATATATATATATATATATATATATATATATATATATATATATATATATATATATATATATATATATATATTATTTTACAATGTATTTACTGGCTTTTTCTTTCTGTCAATAAACATTCAAGATAACAGTTACATTTTGTATACACTCCCATCTGACTTTTCTTCTTTTTTTTCACTGTTCTTTCTTAGTATTATTTTTCATCTAAATGGAGAAGTGGAGAAGAATCCTTCCTCGTTTAACATGGTAGTTTGTAATTGGGCGAACTAACACACCAGAAGCAAGGAGCTAGTAACCCCCTTCTTCTGAATAAATTGTGCGTTTAAATTTTATAACAAGTGTTATGAGTTACTTCAACATTTGCTAGAGTGATAATTATAATCAGTGTCACAGTGTGGCAGTAACAACAACAGTCGCTATAGTGATAATTAGTGTCACAGTGTGGCAGTAACAACAACAGTTGCTATAGTGATATTCAGTGTCACAGTGTGGCAGTAACAATAACAGTCGCTATAGTGATAATTAGTGTCACAGTGTTGCAGTAACAACAACAGTTGCTACAGTGATAATCAGTTCCACAGTGTGGCAGTAACAACAACAGTTGCTACAGTGATAATCAGTTCCACAGTGTGGCAGTAACAACAACAGTTGCTACAGTGATAATCAGTTCCACAGTGTGGCAGTAACAACAACAGTTGCTACAGTGATAATCAGTTCCACAGTGTGGCAGTAACAACAACAGTTGCTACAGTGATAATCAGTTCCACAGTGTGGCAGTAACAACAACAGTTGCTACAGTGATAATCAGTTCCACAGTGTGGCAGTGGAAATGGCTTTGTTAAAATTGCGTGTGATTAATTTTCACAGTGTTATATATGATGTCTCTCAGTCGCCCAATAAAGCTATCAATGTTGATTTTTAGCTATTTGTATGCTTGAACCTGCCATCCCTCACACACACACACACCACACACACACACACACACACACACACACACACACACACACACACACACACACATGTGGTGAATAGCTAAAGAAAAAACATAATAATAATTTTCCCCAGAAGACGTAAATCAATGAAAAGGACTTGATTCGGATTGGAACCCAGAATATTAGTAACCCAGGGTAACCCAAGAGAGTCACACAGAGTGGCTTATTTCCCTTAGCTTTAATGATCTACGTGAGTCATAATGTTATTAACTCAGTTAACCAACCAGTAAATTGTTGCACTTCTGACTGTCTAGCCAGGAAACAACGAAGTGTTGTAGAAGTGATGCTGGCAGTAGATGTAGTGGTGTTGGTGGAAGCAGTAGTAATAGTAGAAGTAATGTTAGTAGAAGGAGTAGTAGAAGTGATGTTGGTGGTACTAGCAGTTGTAGTAGCACAGATAGTAAGAGTAGCATCGTTATTAGTTTTAATTGCGATAGTGATTGTGTTCCTACTTTCCCTTACTTTTATTTATTGTTTCAATTTGTTCTCCAGTTTATTCAAGTCATTTCATTCATTTCATTGCTTTCTTCACAATCTTTTCCATAAATAAATCTCCCTTTGGGAATTAAGCTTTTTCAAGAGTTACCCTCGTTTGTTCCTATCACGAACGAGACACAACAAATTAACGCCACTGCGCTTCGCACGTCTTCGTATTCACATATACAAAAAGAGAAAGCAGGTAAGATAGAGCCAGAGAATAATAGCATCCCAAAAGCGAGTAATTAGGAGCTGAGAGTAATGTGGAGATGTCTGTGACACAAACTGTCGTGAAACTTGTATAATGTGTCTTGGAGGGTGTCTGCTGTCTCCCCTCCCTACCACATCTCTCCCTAATTGCCAGGAGTCTCTGCTAACATCCTTGATTATGTGAGAAATCACGAAAGTTCTTGGATGTTCACTATTTTTTCACAGTGGTTGTTTTGCATTGTCCCGGCCTGTGGGAAGCAGGACAATGTTCGAGACGCTGTGTCCACTGGACCATCAATCCTACAAACAAGATGAGCCTAACAAACTAGGCTTATTTCATGTTGCAAGGACATGCGTGGAAGTGCAGCCTCACAACTAATTTCAATTTCCTCCCGTTTGTGATATCACCTGTTTACTGTGGCCTTGTTGCAGCATATATGTAGATATTCACATATATACATATAAATCTTATTTAGAGAGATATTTAAAGACACGAATGAGGTGAGTCGAAACACAAGCCAGTAGCTCGACCATTATGCCATGAGGACTCCCAAAACTGAACTCAAATTTTGACCCGACACAATATTGTTATGGAGATCTCATCTCACCCCACAGACAGTGATGGAAAATAGCTCTTGTCCCCTTGTCGCCAATGAATTTGAAATAACCATAAGAAACAATCATAACCGTATAGAGAGATGTCAGGCGACTCGAATGCAGGTGATACCTATCTTTTCCCACACATGACTGAGGTGATAGACTTCAATGGATATGCCAGGTAAGCAATCAGTTCCAATTTACTTAAGGGATGCTATCAAATAACCCTAAGTGACAGGGCGAAAGAAATCTCTTCGTTAGTTGCACAGGGGGCCACTACCAATGTTGTGTATGTCTATTTGGTATGTGTAATGTACCAGCTACATTTCAAAGCCTCATTTACACTGTTATAAATTGGATGGAGGGAGTTGAGACATAGCTGCATGACTTAGTGGCAAGGCTGACAGTATGGAATGGTATAGTATTTTTCCCTGTTTTATACTAGTGAGAAATACCGAGTCAACTGGAGTCTTAGTCATATGATGACCCATAGCCAGAGCTTTTGGTCATCAGACAGAGGCCTTCCAATGGCTTACTAGTACACCCCATTAAAAGCTAAGATTATTAATAATCTTTCAGACATCCTGCTAAATAATTATACCACATTTAGCTTTGTAAATAGCTGAGCACTAGACAGTATTAGCCTTCTGATTAAAAGGATATTAATTCTAACAGTGGTACAAATGACTTTTTACTCTCCATGAAACATCATAACACGAAATAAAAAGTCAGCTGATCTATTTAACCACATCAAACACACACACACACACACACACACACACACACACACACACACACACACAAACTGACTGACGATATGCATCTTGCATTCTGCTCATATATTCAGCATCATGAATATTCCTTTTCTGCTTGAATATATCTTCATTTCTGTCAACATAGGCAGTGTTACTGAAATGTTCCAGTCCTTGAAATATTTCAGTTCCTCCTCCATTGACTCTTTTCTCTAGCGACGGCATCAGGAGCTGCAGACATTATCTGATCACTGATGGTGTTCTTACCACAGGTGTTGTTATCACAGGTGTTATCACAGGTGTTGTTACCACTAATGTTGTTGCCACAGGTGTTGCCATCACAGGTGTTACCACAGGTGTTGTTATCACAGGTGTTGCTACCACGGGTGTTGTTACCACAGGTGTTGCTATCGCAGGTGTTACCAAGGTGTTATCACAGGTGTTGCTACCACGGTGTTGTTACCACAGGTGTTGCTATTGCAGGTGTTGTTACCACAGGTGTTGTTATCACAGGTGTTGCTACCACAGGTATTGTTACCACAGGTGTGTTACTACAGGTGTTGTTACCACAAGTGTTGCTATCACAGGTGTTGTTAACACAGGTGTTTTTACCACAGGTGTTGTTACCATAAATGTTGTTACCACGGGTGTTGCTATCACAGGAGTTGTTACTACAGGTGTTGTTACGACAGGTGTTGTTATCACAAGTGTTGTTGCTACAGGTGTTGCTACCACGGGTGTTGCTATCACAGGTGTTGCTATCACAGGCGTTGCTACCACAGATGTTGCTCTCACAGGTGTTATCACAGGTGTTGCTATCACAGGTGTTACTAGTACAAGTGTTGCTACCACAGGTGTTGCTATCACAGGTGTTACTAGTACAAGTGTTGCTACCACAGGTGTTGCTCTCACAACTGTTGTTATCACAGGTGCCATAAAGAGTTTGACTTCATGAAGCGCTAAACCAAGTGGTGCAGGCTCGATCCTCTGTCAGTCAATTGCTGCCAGGTGTCTGATGAGTTGGTAACTCATGTACTCATCTGCAGGTAATATTTCATCAGCCTCAGGCTGATGAGGTAGTGAGATGAGGTTGATTAAAGCGTAATGAATGTAGATCCCTCATTCGCAGCCTCAAGAACAGGTACAACAGTTGGAAATAAATGGTATAAAATACCGACACAATGGAAATGTAAACACTTAAGGAGTATAATGTGATCTTATGTTGACAACGTTTCGCCCACACAGTGGGCTTTATCAAGGCACAAACAGATCTACCTGGGTAGATCTGTTTGCTTTGTTAAGTGTTTATATTTCCAGGTACAACAAAGCCCACAGGATGCCAGGGAGTCAGTGGGCACCCTGGGGCCAGGAGCAAAGACTCAACCTCTGTAAACACAAATCAAGGAGTTCAAACAGGTGAGCAAACATCGCGAACACAGCTCTCATCCTGTGCCTACTAATAGGTAATCATGGATAGATGATAAATCACACACACACACACACACACACACACACACACACACACACACACACACACACACACACGCGACGTAGTGAAGGCAGGAACCATACATAGTTTTAAGACGAGGTTTAATAAACCTCATGGAGAGAGAGGACCCAGTAGCCGTCAGTGAAGAGGCGGGGCCAGGAGCTATGACTCGACCCCTGCAACTACAAATATGTGAGTACACACAGACACGCACACCCACACACACAGTGTGTTGAGTGCAGATCAGGTCTGGTGGAGTGAGCACCTTGAGAGTCCGTCGGTCGAACCAGCAAATCGAACCACTACTCAGGAATTTGCCACCAAAACTAATTTTCACTCGTAAAATCCTATCAGAATCCATAAACGTGTTTTAGCAAATCCCTTCCCGCACCAAGAAGATAAATCCAGACCACACCAACACCCGCTGGTGCCTCACCTGCTATGTACAACAAATTTGTTTACAATTCAACTCATTCCTCGTGGCTTCAGAACCTACACAAAAGGAACCACATACCCCCCCCCCCCAAAAAAAAAAAAATATGCAATGTAATCCATCGTAAGTTCGTCCACTAGTGAGCTACGCTGCCAAAAATTATCTGACAGGAAAAAAAGCTGTGGGAAAGTTAGAAAAGCTTCAGGTGGGAACACCTGGAATTTATAGTATAAACAACAAGAACAACACTGGAATCTGTTATGTAATTTATATATTTTGAAAGAGAATTAAGTTGGAAACACTTTTGTGATTGCTAAATAACTTTCTCCTGGAATAAGTGAATTTATTATTAGTAGTAGTAGTATTAGTAGTAGTAGTAGTAGTAGTAGTAGTAGTAGTAGTAGTAGTAGTAGTAGTAGTAGCAGTAGTAGTAGTAGTAGTAGTAGTAGCAGCAGTAGTAGTAGTAGCAGTAGTAGTATTAGTAGTAATAGTAGTAGTAGTAGTGGTAGTAGCAGTAGTAGTAGTAGTAGTAGTAGTAGCAGTAGTAGTAGTCAGTATAGTAGTAGTAGAGTAGTAAGACAGTAGTAGTAGATAGTAGCAGTATAGTAGTAGTAGCAGAATAGTATTAAGTAGTAGTAGTAGTAGTAGTAGTAGTAGTAGTAGTAGCATAGTATAGTAGTAGTAGCAGATAGTAGTAGTAGTAGTAGTAGTAGTAGAAGTAGTAGTAGTAAGTAGTAATAGTAGAGCAGTAGTAGTAGTAGTAGTAGTAGTAGTTAGTATAGATAGTAGAAGTAGTAGCAGTAGTAGTAGTAGTAGAGTAGTAGTAGATAGTAGTAGTAGCATATAGTAGTAGCAGTAGTAGTATAGTAGTAGTAAGTAGTAGTAGTAGCAGAGTAGTAGTAGTATAGTAGTTAGTATAGTAGTAGTAGTAGTAAGTAGTAAGGAGTAGCAGTTAGTAGTAGTAGTAGATAGTAGTAGTAGTAGTAGTCAGCATAGTAGTAGTAGCAATAGTAGTAGTAGTATAGTAGTAGTAGTACGTAGTAGTAAGTAGTAGTAGTAAGTAGTAGTAGTAGCAAGCTAGTAGAGTTAGTAGTAAGTAGTACAGTAAGTAGTAGTAGTAATAGTAGTAGTAGTAGTAGTAGCAGTCAGTAGTAGTATAGTATAGTAGTAGCAGTCAGTAGTAGATAGTAGCAGTAGTAAGTAGTAGTAGTAGATAGTAGTAGTAGCAGTATAGTAGTTAGTATGTAAATATAGTAGCATAGTAGTAGTATAGTAGCAGTATAGTAGTAGTAATAGTAGCAGTAGTAGTAGTAGTAGTATAGTAGTAGTAGTAGTAGTAGTAAATAGTAGCAGTAGTAGTAGTTAGCAGTAGTAGTAGTAGTAGTAGTAGTAGTAGCAGTAGTAGTAGTAGTAGTAGTAGTAATAGTAGCAGTAGTAGTAGTAGTAAGTAGTAGCAGTAGAGATAGTAGTAATAGTAGTAGTAGTAGTAGTAGTAGTAGTAGTAGTAGTAGTAGTAGTAGCAGTAGTAGTAGTAGTAGTAGCAGTAGTAGTACTAGTAGTAATAGTAGCAGTAGTAGTAGCAGTAGTAGTAGCAGTAGTAGTAGTAGTAGTATTAGTTGTAGTAGTAGTAGTAGTAAGCGAAGTAGTAGCAGTAGTGGTGGTGGTAGTAGTAGTAATAGAAGTAGTAGTAGAAGAAGTAGTAGTAGCAGTAGTAGTAGTAGTGGTGGTGGTGGTAGTACCAGGAGAAGTAGTAGTAGTAGAAATAGTAGTGGTATTATTATTATTATTATTATTATTATTATTATTATTATTATTATTATTATTATTATTATTATTATTATTATTATTACAATCTAAATAAAAAAAGTTAATCTCCCGTAGAAAAAGACTTTTAAAAAAGTCCTTTGAACTAACAAAAGGTTACCAACACTAAAATGGCAACTTCACACCTTCAGGAAGTGAAGTTTGAACCAGCTGGCCTTTTTTCCTTCCCATGTTCATCCACAGCCTTTTATGGAATTCTCGAATTATTTTTCGATATGAAACGACTTGGGTATAAAATTTTATATGAGGAAAATGCTATATGATTATTCCGTATTGGCTATGCGTTTTTTTTTTTGTTTTTTGTTTTTTGGAGGGGAGGGAGTGGGTGGTAATATTTGGAACTTGGGAAGAAGAGGGTTAGTAGCTGAGGAAGTAGGGAAGTAACTGAGGAAGCAGGGAAGTAACTGAGGAAGCAGGGAAGTAGCTGAGGAAGTAGGGAAGTAACTGAGGAAGCAGGGAAGTGGCTGAGGAAGTAGGGAAGTAGCTGAGGAAGCAGGGAAGTAGCTGAGGAAGCAGGGAAGTAGCTGAGGAAGCAGGGAAGTAACTGAGGAAGCAGGGAAGTAGCTGAGGAAGTAGGGAAGTAACTGAGGAAGCAGGGAAGTGGCTGAGGAAGTAGGGAAGTAACTGAGGAAGCAGGGAAGTAACTGAGGAAGCAGGGAAGTAGCTGAGGAAGCAGGGAAGTAGCTGAGGAAGCAGGGAAGTAGCTGAGGAAGCAGGGAAGTGGCTGAGGAAGCAGGGAAGTAACTGAGGAAGCAGGGAAGTAGCTGAGGAAGTAGGGAAGTAGCTGAGGAAGCAGGGAAGTAGCTGAGGAAGCAGGGAAGTAGCTGAGGAAGCAGGGAAGTAACTGAGGAAGCAGGGAAGTGGCTGAGGAAGTAGGGAAGTAACTGAGGAAGCAGGGAAGTAACTGAGGAAGCAGGGAAGTAGCTGAGGAAGCAGGGAAGTAGCTGAGGAAGCAGGGAAGTAGCTGAGGAAGCAGGGAAGTAGCTGAGGAAGCAGGGAAGTGGCTGAGGAAGTAGGGAAGTAACTGAGGAAGCAGGGAAGTAGCTGAGGAAGCAGGGAAGTAGCTGAGGAAGTAGGGAAGTGGTGGAGAGTAAGTGGATGGATGATACTTAAGCAAGTACCTAGGTACTTGCTTATTGCTAGGTGAACAGGGACAGCAGATGTAAGGTCACTATCACCCACATACCTACTTACTGGTAGGTGAAAAGGGGCAGTGGATATAAAGGCACTAATACCTAGGTACCTACTTACCTCTAGGTGAAAAGGGGCAGCAAGTGTAAAGGAAACGCTGTCTAACGCCGCCACTCGCCCTTGAATCGAAGCCCAAGTCCTTCGGTTGTGAGTCGACGGACCTACCAATAGGCAAAGATCCACGCAAAGGAGCAAGAGATCTCGATAATTATTCATGTGGTAAAGACATTATATATATATATATATATATATATATATATATATAATATATATATTATATATATAAAATATATATATATATATATATATATATGCATATAGGTATAACGTAAGGTGAGAGATAGGTAATAATAGTGGTAGTAGTAGCAGTAAAGCATGTACTCTCATATACTCCTATGTACTCTCATGTACTCCCATCTACTCTCATGCACTTCCATGTACTCTCAAGTAATCACATGTACTCTCAGGTACTTCCATGTACTCCCATATATTCAAGGCACTATGTTTTTCTACCCCAGTGTTCACAAGCCCTATAAACCCGACGTGTTTTCCCCCGGCCTGTATTCCCAGGATTAACACCGCTGCTAATTACTTTCCTTAATGAACTCATTAGCGATAAGTTGTGCTACTCTAACCTCACATAAATGGTGTGTAGCCTCCTCAGTGGAAACCATTATCCGCCTTGCTATCTCTTGTACCCTCTACCAATAAATTTGTAACCAAAATGACGATTTAAAAAAAAAATACTCGAAGCCTGGGACCTTTTTTTAATGTCTTGATGCTGGCGAAGGGCTTTTAATTCCAGGATTTGGAGCGTTCCACTCTCAATGCGCTATATGGAACTTATGAGAATATAGATAAAATGCTAAATTCAATTTTGTGTGGGTCATTGAGTGTGAGATTTCACAGAAGACAGATTTTACTTCCTCTAAGCGCGGCCCGGTGTCTGACCAGCCAGGCTGTTGGTGGTGACATATACCTGTTTAGCATACCCATGGCCAGGAATATTTTCCTTCGTGGGGTAGTAAAGCGTGGCAGCCCATGCTGGCAGACAGCCGTGGGTTATGAGGTTATCGTCAGGTATTCCATAGTGGGTTGAGCAGCAGCATCGAGGATCTTAAAATGTTACACTGTGGACGCTCCCGTCTCTCAGAATGACCTGTATCATACAGGGTTGAGGAATCAATGCAGGTTCAGCGCTACTCTTTAAACACACACACACACACACACACACACACACACACACACACAAACACACACACACACACACAGGTGGGGTGGGATACACCAGCGGCCAGTGAAGAGCCGGGGAAAGGAGCTGTGACTCGATCCATGCAACCACAACTGGATGGGTACAACTAGAAGTACCCACACACATACAAACACACACACACACACAACACACACACAAACACACACACACTACACACACACACACACACCCCACACACACACACCCCACACCACACACACACACAC